GCATCTAGAAATGGGAGTGTGAATCTGACACTGATGACTAAAAATACACAGTCCCTAAAAAACCACTAGCAATGACAGTGCCTCCTCACAAACTGGAGCTAGGGCCTTACTTTTTTTCTTATTCTGCAAAACTCAAACTTTGTGACCTGCCTACCAGATGGAGACAAGCAGAGGAGAGAAACATTTAGTTTGTGTATCCTGATAGGATTTGAGTGCAAGTTCTGTGGGCATGCAGTATTCAGAGCCAGAAGCAGAACTTTAAAGGACAGGCAGAACTTTATACATTGGAGATCAGCAGGGGTCTGAGAATCAATAGTGGAATTGCAACTGGAAGGATACACATAAAGTAGAAGCTTGTTAAGATTCACCTATCTAAATGCCATTAATCTTTTGGTTTCTCATCAGTAAAAAGGGCATGGTAGTCCCTCCTTAATGCATAAAGACATTGACAGGCTAAACATAACAAAGGTTATGAAGCATTTAGATACTGTGATAATGGAGCTCAGAGCTGAGTGCCCATAAACCCAGGGGCCTGGGCTGCCCAGCATCCAGGAGCCTGGAAGTCTCGGCTTTCTGGCACCTTATTCAGCAGCCTGCCCAGCAGCCAGCCAGACAAGCCAGTCAGGCCAACAGAAGCTGATTAATCATCTCCTGGTTTCCATTATAGATGGGGCAAACCAGACATGTTCTTTAAGGATGAAGATCAGATTTCATCAAACTGGTATTTTTCTGACAGAAAAACATGCTATCCAGGAATCTTTAATCACTTCTGTTGCTAATTGTGTCATTAAAACAATGCATCATGTTCCTCTGATGTACCATGTGGCAAATCAAAAGTAGCGGTCTGATGGATTGACTAAGTCTCCCTTTAATCACCAACAGATATTGCTGCTGGAAACAAATCAGTGCCAACTTTAGTGAATGCACATTTATAGACACTTTGAAACTCTGCACACAAGCATTTATTGGTGATGAAACAGTATGGCTTCGAGTGAGTCAAGAACTTTTAGCATCACTCGTGTTACTCCACTAGAGGTACTTACATACAGCACAACATGGCACAGGTAGTTGTCTGGGGAATCCTCCCAGCATACCTGGGAGGAGGGGAAGCGCTCTCTACCCTTTGTAGATCAGACACTGAGGCATACAAGGTAAAGGCACAGCAAGCATGTGCTGTGTATTGTACACAGATTGCAAGCAGGGACTGATTTAAAGAGTGCAGAAAGGGATCAGAAAGACAAAGTGAGAGAGTCTGCTATAATGTGGAGTGATTCAATAGGCACGTATTTTCATACTCTAAACTTTGCTAGACACTTGAAATTGCTCCTCGGTACCAATGCAAGAGTCCCAGTTGAACAGTTCCCTACACTGAACCAAAATCTGATGAGAGGCACATCTGAGTAGGTGGTCTCACACAGGGCATCTCCACCACAGACGAGATTAAGCCTTTTCCTTAGTTCAGCTGTGGATTTTCTTCTTTTCTTTTAAAATTGAGCTGGAGTGGCTGGGGGTGTTCAGGATTTCTCATATTCTCCCCAGTATTTGACATGTGTTTGCTTTCCAGATAGAGAATCTCCTTGAGGAATTAAAGTGTTAGTCTACTGAGATAAAAAGCTAGATCAAATAAAACATTTATGTGCCTAAAGGAAAGGCATTTTAGCTGCATCACCTTTATAAATAGTCTATTGGTGAAAGCACTCAGTGAGGAACTGGGAGACCTCAGTATTAATTTCTTACTCCAACAGACCAGGTTGAAAGGGATGCTGTGCTGAAAGTGTTCCGCTACAGAGGAAATAATTTGAAATGTTGGGTCAAAGGCATAGAGAACAAAACCAAGAGAAGCATGTCCCTGCAGCATAGGGTTAGCCTCTCCATTAAATGTGCTGTACATCTCAGAACCAGTCAGGTTATTATTTCTCCGACTCATGTCACTTACTAGACATCACACCAAAAGACCTACTCCTAGTGGCCTGCTCTTTAATTTGAGGAGACTTAACAGAGTTAATGGAGGGAAATATGAATCCTCATTTTTTTTCCTGTTGTCAACGGAGTGTACAGCTTTCTCTGTCAGCAGGGAGCTCTCAGGAGACTATCATACAAAATGAATGACTGCTGTTCACAAAAATGCTGAAAAACAACTAATTGATTTTGATGAAGCAGGCAGCTACATTTGATTTTGTACTCTACATTCAGGAACTTTAATAAAACATTTTTGTTAGGAGAGTTACGTATAGACAAATTGAATTAAGTGATGTTTTACTTTTCATTAGATTTTTCAGAGTAGTAAACAATATTGCTTTATAGTAGAATGTCATTTATTGACAGAAAAGCTCTTTTTTCTAGTGTAAACAGTATCATCAATGTAGTCTATTAAAAATAAACGTCTAAAATTTTGCATGAATTTCTGTCTTCCAAAATAAAAAAAGGAAGGAAGGAAAGAAAGAAAAGAAAAAAAAGAAGGAAGGAAAGGAAGAAAAGAAAAAAAGGAAGGTGGAAGGAAGACTGGTATTGCAGTAAGTTGTTAGGCTAGGACTGAGACACAAGGTTTCAGTTCCTAGTATTTTCCATGCCTCTGTTTCTTTTTTTCTGTAACATACTGGCAATCTTTTCTACCTTATCAACTGTGGTGCAGTTGAATTAAAAAATGTTTGGGATAGTGTAGTGAAGGACATGTGCCAGAGGAGAGATAAACTACTGAAAATGTCTTCTGACATATGCTAAGGGCTGCCACTTCAAACAAAGGCAATGTACCAACTTTGGGTATCACCTAAACTCAGACCAAGCATGATAGTCACTGTGAGTTGAAGATGCCTCAGCCTTTCCCACTAAAACCAGTAGCAGTTATCTACTCACTGGAGGACTGGGTACCTGCTGTAACCATCTGAACAGTGACTCTGAGCAATTTGCCACTTTTTGTTTCCTTGAGAAGCAGTATTTCTATCGTTTCCATGTTACGTACCTCCCTAAGACTTTCTTAGGAGTTCAAAGTGTTTGGAAATCCACAAAATTAAAATCATCTGTTACTACAATGCGATCTAGGGAAATTCCACAATATACCCATGACCTTTCAAACTGTTGATTACTCCTTTCTCGCATGTCTTAAGTGCCACTCCCCTATTTCTGTCCTGAAATGGAGATGTGCAGAGTGTATAATACGAACTGATGTTTTCTGCTAGAACTAGACTATATTCAGTGTAGTATTATTGATGCTACATGGCCTTTTGGGTCCAGGTGCCAAACTGTATTTTTGGCTTAATTTCAAAGATAAAGGACAAATTTAAGCTTGGTGTTGAACACTGAAGTGAGCAATCCCTTATCTCTGCCCTCTCCTGTGTTATCTTTTGCATTGCCTAGCTGACCCAAAGATCTGGAAGGCAAATTAACATTTGCTACTGTGCAATGAAAAAGGCAAATTCCTCCACAGTACTTGTCTACAGCACAGAAAGTAAGTAAATATTAATTCCTCCAGTGTTGTGAGTAGTCACTTCCTCACACAACATACCCTTACCAAATTAAAGCTTTTTCTTTGAAGCATCTAGTTTCCTTTTGCTCACCAACAAGGGCACAATGAGCAACCATGAAAACAAACTCACAGACAGCATCTGACCTTCATTTTGCACAGCTTGTAGGTATTCTCTCCTTCTTGATTGTAGTCATAGTTTGTTAGAACATTCTCCTGAAACACATGGCATTTATGACATTTCCTACAAAATCCTGACACTTCTCAGATGCTGTTCTAACCAATACCAACTTCCACAGAGCAAGAAAGAAACCAACAGTTTTCTTCTCTGAAAAATATATGCAATCAGATAATGCTCTTCACACAGCTTATACTGAAAATACACAGTAGGGTTTCTTGGTCTGGTTATAATGCCAAAAACCCCTTGACCCCACACCTTTTATGGGCTCGAGTGCTAGCCGAGGTTAAGCAGAGAGGATTGTCAGCTTTCAGTTCTTGTACATTTATGCACAAATGTTTGCTTACATTCTTCAGGCACATTTACTGAAAAAGAGGCAATGTCTAAAGAAGTTCCTAACATCCTTGCCCACACTGAGTAGTTCATTCATTCACAAGTAAACTCTGCTGAAGTTTTCTGGGATTACTCACAAAGAACAATGCAGCTCAATGAGGGCAAAGCTGCTCACATGTAGTCTTTCATCTCAAGTCTACTTCTCAGAAATTGTCAGGACTCTTGGAGCAACATGGCTCTTCTGAACAGAGATCACAAAGAACAACAAGGGCCTGATTCTTATTTTAAACAACGATTTAAACCTGTGATCCTGTCAAATTTCCTACATATAAGGCCCCTTCCATCTGCCTCAAGCCTTGAAGAGGCTAGTGGTTTTCACTCCTGCAAAACTCTCACAGAAGAGGGCTGAAGGACAGAAGCATTGAGTTCCCAACCTAGCTAAGCTATACTGTCTGATATTTCAATAACCAACCAACAGTGGTACTGTTCCGAAAATTGATTTTGAAAACAAAACATTAAATTCTCACTTTAGACTGACAGAAAATTTTCAAGGTGAAGTGAGCAAATGAAGAGTTAAAGATCAGGTGCTTGTTGTTAAAATCAATATGGCTTCATAGCAACATTTTCTTCTTCCACAACAGTAACCAGTGAGTGTTTCAACCAGCTCATCAGATGTGATCAAAGTCACAACCGGACACATTCAAAACATAAAATATCTTCTCCCTTTTTCTTAAGTAAATGCTGCATTGACTATTTTGTTCCTGTATATGCTATTAGTCAACTTACAGTGGAAGCACAACCACAGTGTGAGTAGTAGAGCTGATAACTTTTTATGAAAAGTTAACACCACACAATATGTTACAAACAGATTCCAGTCTTCAGCTATTACAAGTAATAAGAGAACACTGTAATTAAAAAAATAAATCAGCCCCATTTTACTTCCTTGAAGCATATTCAGTAGTTACATTAAAAACAACTTTTATAGAAATCCTCTGTATTCACTAATTTAGAGGGAAATGCACTCAAAAGGGGTGTATACTGCACATCTTTATTGATGAATATTACTTTTTATCTAGCTCGGAAGAAATAAGATCCTCTTGAGGCATTGAATCAGATGAGTAACTCTGATGAGAAATAAATTAAAACCACAGAAAATGCCCTGGTATGCGGCTGCACATAGATATTCAGTATCTGCATCAATCCATTTTAGACATTTGGAAATGCAAAACAAAAGTAGAAGCATTATTTCCTTTATGTTTATAATGACCAGAGAATAATTTTATAGCGAAGAAATTACTTTTAAGGCACATCAGTCATTCCATATATACTTCATATCCACCAAAATCTGACTGTCGATTAAATTTCATTCCCATAGACTCCTTGAATTCTACAAGGAAAAACAAAGGGGAAGGATTGTGTTTATAGGCAACAAATCTCATTTCAAAAGCAGTGCAACAGTGAAACTGCCGTGTGTCTGCAGATGGGGAAACCACTCTAAACCGGCATTAAATGACAAAGGCAGACCCTCATCTCGGTAGGAACAAGTATCTCTAATGAAGCTGTCCAGTAGCTCAGAGGTAGTAGCTATGTACCATATGCTGCTTTGGTTGCTCTGGCAATTATATAGTTTCTTCAGATTAAACAAACCTGAACTTTTTAGATACATCATTACCTACAAATAATATGAGCTTGTTTCAGCTCTTTTTGATGTAACTTTAAAAATAATTCTCCATTTTACAAAAGAGAAAATGGCTTGTAATCCCCCCTCTCAATTGCTAATTGTTTCTCTTATTTATCTGTCTCAGGTACATATTTGTACCAAACCATTTGTTATTTACAAGGGGATGCTCCTGAACATAAGTCTTAACATCCTTTCTTTAAGTGTGGATGTTTAAACAAAGCTCAAATCTTTTCACAACTGCAAGCCTTTCTTCAAGAAAGGTTCCAATAAGTTACGGACTTATGACTTTGAAAATGTCTCAGTTGTTTCTTTAGTGAAATCAAGCAAACTTCTAACGCATTTGGTGCAGTCATCTAATCCTCACTTCAGCAGAACTCCTACTTAGCACGAGAATCTTAGCTACTGACAACCTCCTCTTCTGGGGCTAAGTGAACCAAATGCTCACTATGAAAAACTGATGAAACAAAGTGACTGCTCTATCATTTCTCCTTACGTCATAGAGATTTCAAGAGAAGAGGGGCTATAGGCACCTGTCAGACAGAACAGAGGGAGTAAAGAACAGGATATCTAATGATTCTCAGGTATGGATTAAATTTAGCTGTTTCAAGAAGCCTACCGTATGAGATTAGATTTCATTATATTTTTTCAAAGAGCTGTTTACTGTGGATTCATTTGAGGCAGATGCCAAATCCTGCTGCCTATGGAAGGAGTGATACATATAAAATGGAGCAGTATTTACTCCACAAGCAGAATACACACCTTGCAGCAGCACAACTGGAGAAGGGATGTAAATGCTCATCTGGGTCTTACACTTGCTATGCATTCAGTGGTGAATGTACAGACAACAGTCCCTGTCTCTCATTCTCTTCATTACAGTTTATGACATTTTATAAACCCACAGAAAATATAGTTTGCTTTGATAACTATTCAAACTCTCCTCCCCTCTTCCCTCCCTTCCCCACAACAAAATCATCTGAAATCATAAACTAGAAATACAAACAGGAAAAGAGAAAGAAAGCGACATTAATATTAAAGGTTTGGAACAGCTGCACCTTACTTTTGAGATTTGTTCACATACAGCACTAACAATCTGCAACGTATGCTTCTCATTACAAAAATAAATATAAAGGATTTAGTTGCTCTAAGACTGTAAAGACCTTAGTAGTGTGGTGATTGCTCCTCCTCTGAAAATCTACATAGCAGACTGCCTCCAACTGCCTGTCCGAGAATGAGAACAGCACACAGACAGCCCCTGAGATAAGCTTTTTGAGAGGGACCTAAAAAGAAGGGAGAAGAAGTTCCCCAGGGCACATGCAAGTTGAGCTCATTGGAAATTTGATTTTTTTCTTTTAACTCAGAAAATGTTAGGTGAGTCCAGCAAAACTATTTTTTTTTTTTTCCACTACCTGCTCCAGGACAGCAAGGTGCTTAGGCCACTGATCTGAGAGGGCTGGAGCAGGAATTTACTGCCTAGTGATCCAACAGGGGGAAATAAGGTCACGGGGTGCATGTGCTCTTTTTCATATTTCATGAAAACATGCAAGACTCCCAGGTTTGTCCCACTGACAAATCAAAAATTGTGGGGAGATAGGAAAAACATTTCCAATCCAGCTCTATATACAAAGACCCCTCCAAAGAGAAAGAAAGCCCCATGCTTTCTGTTTGACTTCAGCCCTGTGTAAAATCATCATTCAGAAGGTTTTAACAGTACAAAGGTTTATTTAGAAAAGAGGTTGGATTGTTCTTTAGGGATTTTTTGGCAAACATTTAAATCCTTTCATAACTCAAAACACTGTCAGTTCCTGGTACTTTGCACTTCCTTTCCCCACATAAGCAGTAAAAGCCAATTTCTTACCAGGACTAGCCCACCATAGGCCCCAGCTGCTCTATTTATAAATATTCAAATCTCCACCATCACTGCCACTTCATCCTTTCCTCTCTATGTCTCTGCTTGCTTTCCCACAAAATTCCAGACCCCATAAAAGCTCACTGCCTCCCGAACTCAGTGGCTTAGCCTATTTACCTCTGCAGACTCCCCATGCCCTCTGTCAGGGTTCAAAGACAATCACCCCCCTCCCTGTTTACCCATCCGCACTCCAGCACCGTGTTGCCATTCCGTACCACAGTGAATGCCCTCAGCCTCCCCGACTCTACTGCCATACCACACAGCATCACCCTGATCCACCAAAGGAGTGAGCTCTCTTCCTTAAGCCCAAACCCCATGTTCTCTTCCCTCACTTCTTTTTCAGCACAGAGACTTCTCCTTCTAACTCTATTCCTGCTCAAGGAAAATCCATCCTTCCAGCTCAATGCCGGAAGTTCTTCTTCTTCTTCTTAAAGAGAATGTGTTTAAAGGACCTTCGGAAGTCCTGGTTGAAGATGGTGTAGATGACTGGGTTGAGGGAGCTATTGCAATACCCAATCCAGAAGAAGAACTTGAACAGAGTCTCAGGGACCTCACATGCCTCCCGGCAAATACCGTAGAGGCTATAGCTAAAGAAGAAAGGGAACCAGCAAACTACAAAGACCCCCATGACCACGGCCAGCACAAACGTGAAGCGTTTCTCCCGGGCCTGGGTGACTTTCTTCCGGCAGATGCTGCTACGCTTTCGGCGACGGCGATATGAGAAGAACTGCATGGAGCGACTGCTAGAGCGGGACAGACGGCTACTAGAGTGCTTGGAGGAATAGGAGTAGGAGAACGACTGGCTCTTGCTGCTTTTGCGGGGATGCTCCTCCCGGCTCCGCCTCCGTCTACTCTCTGAGGTGCTGCTCTCCTCCAACTCAATGTCCTCCAGCTCAGAGGCTTTGCGCCAGTGGTGCACTGAATAATGTCCATTCTCTCCCAGCTGCATCCTCAGGGACGTGCAGCCGCCAGCAGCGCGGCTCAAGCCATTCTCAGTCTGAGAGGACCCCTCTGGCATCGTACGCTTCTCAGAGAGGGTCCTGGTCCTTAGCTTGGCCACGCGGTAGATGCGGATGTAGACTAACACCATGATGAGGCAGGGGGCAAAGAAAGAGCCGATGCAAGAAGAAAGGATGTACCATGTCTCGTCATTGAGCTTGCACTGGGGAAAGCCATCTCCTTCAGGGTCCCGGTACATGGAGATCAATGGTGGGAAGGAGATGACAGCTGAAATGAGCCAGACAGTGAGGATGATGGCCTTGATCCGCCGGGGGGTCCGCTTGAGGTTGTACTCCACCGCCTGCGTGACCGACCAATACCTGTCAAGGCTGATGGCGCAGAGGTGGACGATGGAGGAGGTGCAGAAGAGCACGTCCAGCGCCAGGTAAATGTTACACCAAGCCTTGCCAAAGTACCAATAATTCATAAGCTCGTTGGCTAAGGAGAAAGGCATGACCAGGGTAGCCACCAGGATGTCCGCGCTGGCCAGGGACACCAGGAAGAGGTTCTGGGGGGCTCTCAGCGCCCGGCTGGTGAGCACAGCTATCACCACCAGCACGTTGCCCACGATGGTGAAGACGATGAGGAAGCCCACCACCGCCGCCAGGCTGGCCACGGCCGCCGGGGAGTAGGGGGAGGGCGGCTGCAGGAGGGCCGAGGAGGACGGCGAGGAGGGGGGCAGCGCCAGGGACTCGTTGGGGGAGCCCAGGCTCGTGTTCACCACCAGCAGCAGATCCATGGCGGGTGTGCGGGGCGCCGGCGTCCTAGAGAGCCCCGCGGAGCCCCCGCCCCGCCCCGCCGCCCCGCCGCCGCCGCCCCGCCGCCCTCATTGCCCCTCCGGCCCCCCGCTCCAGCGGCTGCCCCGCAGCCCGCCTCGCCCCCTCAGGGCACGGCCGGACAGCGCCGCCCCACCGCGGCAGCGCTGCCTCCGCCCGGCCCCCGGCGACGGGGCAGCGGGGCACGGCTGGCCCCCGCCGCCCGCCCGGTCATGCCCGGCTCAAGGCAGCCCGCGGCTCCGGAGGAGGCACCGCCCGGCCAACGGGAGTCGCCGGCGGGGGAAGCTGGATCCCGGCGGGGAGCAGGGTGCGAGGCAGCCGCGGCGGCATCAAATCCCATGGAGAGCGGCTCCCGGCGCCCCCGCTCCGGCGGCGCGGCAGCGCGCTCCCGGCGAAGTCGCGGCTGCCCGGCGGCTCCGTCCTAGTCTTGCATCGCGCTCCCAATCGGCGGCGTGCCCAGCCGCCGCGCGCATGCTCAGTCCCGACAGGTGAAGCCGCCGCGCCCGCCTCAGCTTAGCGCCCCAGCGGGCGGAAAACCGCCCCGGGCCGCCGCTGATGCTGATGCTGCCGCCGCCGCCGCCGCCGCCGTCGGGTCTCTCGCGCCGGGAGCCGCGAAGCCGGGCTGCCCTCTCCTCCCCGCAAGCGCTCTCCGGGAAAGGATCGGCAGCGCGGTGCCGCGGCGCTTCCCCGCCGCCGCCGCCTCCGGCCCCGCTCGGCGCTCAAGCAGCGGCTTCTCCTCGTCGCGGGGCAGCGGCCGGGGCGGAGGCCGCCGCGGGCCGCGGTGGGAGGTGTCGGTGCCATGAGGAGCGGCGCCCGGCTCCCCTCCCGCCGGCGGCGGCGGCGGCGCCGGCGGCCTCGCCCGCTAGGGGGCGGCCTTGCCCGCCCGCACGAGGCCGGCAGCCGTTACCGGCCGGCGGCGCCGCCCTGAGGGGGCCGCGGCGGGCGGGAGGGGGCTCTGCGGCTTGTTTTGGGGACGCGCAGCGGTGTTTAAGCAGGGGTTCGGTGTAGGTGCTCGCCCGCGTAAAGCCTGCGTTTCCCCGGCAGCGCGGTTTTCCGCTGGGAACCGGTGCGAGACCGCACCGGGCGAGCGCTGGCCCGGGAGGGAAGCAGAGGGGGAAAAACTCAGAGAAGTGTTTAGGTTTCGTCGTGATAACGGAGGAACCTCGGTAATAGGCGAAAGAAAGCACCGAGGACGCTTATTTCCACTTCTCGGGCGTGCTCTGGGAGCTACCCGAGGGGTCGGTTTCATCGGCAGGCTGAGGGAACCGGCGCGGGGGCGGGGGTCGGCGGCTCCCTCGGCGCCCGCCCGGCAGCGGGGTGAGGGACACCTCTGCAGACCTCCTTGGCTGACAGCCCTGTGTCTTACATCGCCGTCCTTCGGCAAGAAAATTTGTGAGCTGACAATTAACGAAGTCAGGGCTAATTTAGTGCCTCTTTCTTCAGCCGAACCTGCCCAAAGGAGGGTAGAAGAAGGTAGTTCAGTGCAGCGCTAGTCTGTGGCGGTACGTAGTCCATAGAAAAGCCACTGCCCTGCACTGGAGAATACGTTCTCTCTGCCCAAGCCCTTTCCTTCTCTCTCCCTATATCCCCCAGGTCCTTCTCCGGAGATTGCTTGTGGGGCATTGTGAGATTAGGGTAACAGTCAGGTAAAGAGAACAGCCTGGATTTTGGATCATAACTTCTTCAGAGCAAGGGCTGTCCCACTGGTGTCTTTGCTGCTTCTGCTTGCTTTTCCTGTGCCACGCTGCAAAAGAGCCTGTGCTTATGTAATACAACAGCGTAACCCTAACCACAGGATTAGCTGTGTTCTTTTCAGGTGATCCAGAATATGAATTCATCCACAGCCACTTAATTTGCTTTTAATCTAGAGTAATGTATTCCTTTTATGCTGTGTGGCAATGTTACTGGCTTGTGTGGGATGGGTGCTTTTTCCTGTTGTGACACTGTAAAAGATCCAGTAATAGAGGTAGATCTCTACAGCAGAAATTGGAGGGCAGATCAGTGCTGAAAACCACAGCCTGACTGGATTTCATGGCTAATACCGAGTTTTGGAACTGCCTGTACTCCATCATCATCCTGCTGACTTCTAAAGAGGGGAACCTGATGTTTTGCCTGTGGGCATTCCCAGTCTGAGCAGCTGGTTTATGCCTCCCTCCTGTGCCCCACCTGGACCCAGAAATGCAGTGTCCCTAGGTTTTGAGAGAATCGCAGACTCGGTGATAAACAGATAAACAGCATGTTCTGTTTACTACTGACAGGACCATATTCAATGCAAAACTGTAAGTAGTGAAGGCACATGTACCCAAGAGAACTTCTCTCACTGTATAATATTTGAAATAATAAAATATATTGTAATGGTCCACAAGTTGAAATAGAGCAGCCTGGGGCTTTGGGGCGTGATAAGGGAAACTCTTGATTTCAGTTACCTTTTTGATGCAACCAGTGCTGGCTGCTCTGTTCTCTGTACGTTTGTGTAGGTACATGAACTGGATTGTGAAGGGTTGGAAGTGAATATGCTTAACTGATAGGAAGGAAAATTCCTCTGGAGATTACAATCTCATTAATCTATTTTGTAAGCAGTTTTCCCTGAAGCTTTTTTTTTTTGTATTTGAAAACTCATTAACAAACATGTTGTGACTGCATCTAAAGGAGAAAGGACATAATGTTGAAACTAAACTTTGTCAGGTAACAAATTCTAATACGACTGAAATGCAGAAGCAGTAATCATGTAAACAATCAAGGTGTAACATATAGAACAAAATAAAATAGAAATCTGATGCCCCCTCAAGTTCTTCTAAGTAGACAAAGAATCTGATAAGGAGAGCTCTTTAAAAAATTTGCAAAGCTACAGGAAGATTAAATGAATGGTGTTTGAGGTTAGTAGAGTTCAGACAAGAAGTAAATGGCACATTTTTAACATGAAACCTGAATAAGCACTGAAGCAGCTCTCTTACATTTGTGGTCAGTTCTTCATATTTGAAAGTTTTATAATGATATCTATGAACTGAAAGGACAAGGTGCAGGAATTTAAAGTCTAACCTTTGATGTGACTGGTAATAGAAAGGAAGAATGTATGATCTAACTGGTTCCATTTGGGTTTAAAATACAGTAAATACAAACTGCAAGATCACATGAACATTTGGGATTCAGGAACTGTCAGAAAAGGGGTATATAAGCCTCACGTTATTCAGATCTCTTACTAGGGTAATTGCGATGTCAAACTGACAAAGTACGTCTTGAAGTTGTATGAACTGGAACTTGAAATAAACTTTCAGCTAATGATATAGGCCTACAGATTAAAAGAGTTGAAGCTTTTCAAGACTTATCTTTGCTCAAAATAAGTCAATACAGAGGTTTTATAATAAAAGGAAGGAAAAGTAAATGTCTGAGCAATAATTTGGCATTTTTAATGAGGAAATGACAACTAGGATATGGAAAAAAATAAAAATAAATTGGGAGAAAAATATTAATATTTTTTTTGTGGTTTCTTTAGCACTATAGTTGTACTGTGATGCTGAAACAATTCAGTATATAACTCCACTAAAGCCAGGGAAGTAACATTTGGGTTTTCATGTATGTAACTGAGATTCAGTTTGCCTAAATAGCTGTACGTCACCCCAGCTCTATATGTAGAGGTGAATGAAGCATGGGCATAGATACAAGAAATGTGCCCTCATGAAAATCTGCTTAGTCTACTGAGAGACAAAGGTAGGAGCAGGGTGAACGACAGGAGGTAAATGTAGTTGTGCTTTTGGAAATCAGTGGTTTAGTATAGAACACAAAGGTTAAGGTTTATAGAAACTTGGCAAAACAGATAGGCACCTTACTGCTTTTTTTCCTTCCAAAACCCTGCATTTCTGTTATGTTCACTCTCAAAACTGGCTTTCCAATAGTTATGAGCTCCTAGCTATTGGCCTTCATTTGAACTCATGCTTGGTAGAAGTTAACAGGCTCCCAAGAAAATGAAAAAAAAAATAATAAAAAAAGTTTTGAAGTTTAGATACTGGATGAGGCTCTTCTAGGCAGTAAACTGGACCTGACTTAAACTGATCCAAGCCCAGACTTCTTGAAGTAATATGGTAGATAGATATAGATATGGTGCTAAACCCATCCATCCGCTGTATACTCTCACTGCTGCTTTTATTCCCTCATCCAGCATCTCACTACAAACCTGTCACAGCAGGCTGAGAAGATCCCAGAGGAGCAGAACTATTTCTTATTGCTTCTTGTCTCTATTTCTTGTTGGGTTTTTTTTGGATTCTCAAGTTGGACTGACCTTTAGTTCAGTTTGAGCTACCAGAAGACTGTATTGGCCAAATTGATGCACCACCTGCACTTGGGTTCAAGTCTTGGGAAATCCAAAAGCTGTTACTGGGAAACTGGCCAGCAGTGGCCTCAAGAACTCAAGTCCAAACTCAGGGTCAGTTACCAAAGGTGACATCAACCCAGCCACTGAAGTTGGTGAAAAGATTCCCGCTGACACTGAAACCTTTAGGCTTCTGTTAGGCTGTATAAGGATGCCAGATTTGAATGGTGGTGTCACAAGTGAACGCTGTCCTTGCACACACATAGATACAGGAGAAAAAAGTGTTCCAGCTGGTTTACACTTCCAAACATATTTTGCCTCTTCTGTTTAAGATCTGAAGAAAAACTTGTGTGCCCAAAAGCTTGTCTACTTTTTCCTCCCAAATATATCAGATGAGTTAGTGAAAAATACTACCTCCTCCTGAAAACCTGTCTTGTTATACTTTATATCTTTAGTTATCACAATTGTAACCATGCTATTAAATGCTCTTCAGTGTATGTTTTTTTTTTTTTTTAATAATCCCTCCTTCCACAGAAGAACAACATTGTCATTTATAGAGGAAATATGTAATCTTTCTTAAGAAATGGGATGTTATTTGATTTTCAGTGGGAACTGGGTTCCTTACTTCCTCCTTGTGACTTTGGAAATGTGTCTTAGATAAACAAAAAGGTTTGTAGGACAGCCTGATTTACTAAACATCTGGAAGT